TCCAGGCCTCTGCTCAAATCTCACTTCCTGAGAGAGGCTTTCCCAGACTTCTTGATCTAAAATAGTACCCTCTCGGGGCGCCTGGGTGGCTCAGTCAGTTAAGCATCTGACTTCAGCTCAGGCCATGATCTCACAGTCTGTGAGTTCGAGTCCCGCGTTGTGCTAACAGCTCAGAGCCTGGAGCCTGCTTCGGTTTCTGTGTCTCCCTCTCTCTCTGCCCCTCCCCTGCTCATGCTCTGTCTCTGTCTCAAAAATCAATAAAAATATTTTTTTTTAAAATTGAAATAGTACCTTCTCCCTGTCATTCTCTGCTCCCTTAACCTACTTTCTTTTGCTCCCCAGCCCCTAGTGAGGTCTCCTCACTAGTCTGGAAGCTCCATGAGGCCAGGACTTTGTTTTGTTTGCTACTGTGTCCTCAGGGCCCCGGAGGGTGCCTGGTATGTCTAGGAGCTCAGTAAGTATTTGTTAAAGGGATGAATGCATTGCTCTATCATGGGTCACCCAAGTCTCTGATAGAAACTCCTACCACACACAACCTGTCATGTCTTTCCTGTCTCCTAGACTTTGCTCATCACTGTGCCCTTCTCCTCCTAGAACCCCTCCCTCTCTTCTCTGGCTATACAGATTCTTCCAGTTTTCAAGGCCAGGCTCCAGGCATAGCCACCTCTAAGAAGTCTCCCCTGCCAGCCCCCAGACCAGTTCTTCAACATCCTTCAGTCTCTTAAGTCTGCTTTTAGATTCTGAATGGTCTGAGTGTCTGGTTCCCCAGGCCTGGGGGTGCCTCCACCCCACCGAGGGGCAGCATGTATAGCCTGAGATCACAGATGGAAAGGAATGAAGCAGGAAGGGCAAGTCCCTACACTGGGAGGGTGCTGGGGACAGAGCCTCCCAAACCCAGCTGGTCCTGGAAATGTGGGGCTGAAAAATGTCAGACTCAACCCTGGTCCATCCCCCAACTCTTCCATTCTTGGTGGGGGACCCATTCCTGGACTGTACTCCCTCCAATAGTCCAGGGCCCTTAGGAAGGAGTCGGCCAGGGACGGGGGGGCGGGGGGGGGGACTTGGGGGTGGGAGAGGGGGGAATAAAGAGAAGAAAGGGACCGCCCTCTGCCTGCCCTCCCCATCCCACTCTCCTCTGGGTGACAAGACATTTAATTATAGATATTTGGTATCGCTCAGAACTCCAAATGTCCTAATTGCCTCCCCTCCCAGAACCAGTTTCCACGGAAAAATCACAGCAAAGAGCCAAGGAGGGAAAAGAGAGAACTCCCACCCCCATGGGTTCCCTGCCAAGGGGACACAGAGAGAAGGAAGGTGATGAAGGGCTGCAGCCGGGCAAGTCGGACAAGCCGGGGTGGGGTGGCGGGGGAGGCATGTCTGTTGGGGCAGGGGTTTGGTGCTTGGGCCCAGCTGTGGCTTGCCTTGCCATGTGACCTTAGACCCAGTGTTCTCAGAACTGAGTCTCAAAGTTCGTTCCACTCCACCTCCAGGTCCCAGTGAATTAAATAACCACCGGGAAGGTGTTCAGGCTATTAGGGGTATGCAGGTGACACGCCCCAGGTACCCCCTGACTGTATGCCCCTTACTCAGATGGCAGGCCAGTCCCACCAAGAAACAGAGATCCCTTTGGCTCCTTCACCTCTAAGACACTGACATTCTAGGACTCGGTGGGAATCTAACAGTCTGCAATTCAAAGAATCCAGCACTGGAAGATTCTCACAGTTTCCACATCTGAAGAATGAAACATTCCGAGTATCTGGCATATAGTAAGCACTTAATAAATGTTAGCCACTGTTAACTGCTAGTCCAGTATGCTAAAATTCTGTGAGTCAATCCATCTAGGATTCTGAGACACAAGTCGTTTCCTGTTTCTGGGCTATAGTTGTCACATTTGTCAAATGTGTTCAGGTATCAGTACCTGAGGGCAGAAAGTTGGGCTACAAGACTCAGTACTTGAAGGCCAGGGTAGGGGAAGCACTGGAGTGAAGAGTCTGATCATCCAGGCTATTGTGGGTGTAAGTGGAAATGACAAGGGGTGTGGCAGGGCAGGGCACGGCGGCTCCAACAGCTCTGCCTGCTCCCAGCAGATACGCAAGCAGGTGTTCAGAGAACAAAATGACCACGAGTTATTCCTCATTCCCTGGGCTCCTAGGCTCTCACAGCTGTTGCACGGAGCTTTCTTTCTCTTCCAGCAACACTCCAACACTTCCTGTTTCCCTTGACCACTCTGCAGGCTGTCTTCCCTACAGAGCTTCGAGACCACACAGTCTAACATCCCACTGTACAGATGGGAAAATCGAGGCCCAAGATGACTGTCCACGTCTCAGAGCAAGTTAGAGGCTGAGCCAGGCCTGGTACCCAGGCCACCTGCTCCCAATAGGGATATGCCATGCAGAGGGCAAATAGAGACTCTGGGCTGGGAGAGACCTGAGTTTGAGGGACTCCTCAAAGCCTGGGTTGGGTCAGGGGCCACCTCTGCCCCCCAGGGACTCTCCTGTTAGCCCCTGGCTGGGTTCAGCCTAGTTTCTGCCTCATCAGCAAAGTGTGAAAGCCTCTTCTCTTCCCTTCTTATTCTGGAGCTCACACCACACCATCCCCACCCACAGCCCTGGGAGCATGACTGGAGCCCCAGGCCTGAAACAAGGGAACATTGTCTCCTCCATGGAGGCCAGTAGGAGGGGGTGAACAGCTGCTCCCCATCTTCCTGGAGGCAGAAGGAAGGGGATAGCAGAAGGGATTGAGGCTAGCAGATAGGAGAACCTCCAGGCTTTATGAAGAGGTTGGGGAATTAGGGGATGGTGAATCTCTTTTGAACCAATTCAAGTCTACCAGGTTATACTGAGGCTCAGAGTGCCCAGCCCTGTGCTCAAAAACCAGTAGAGGGCAGGGAGGAAGAGCCAGGCCGGTCACTGAGAAGAGCTGCGGGCATGGCAGAGGGGGGAGTGGAGCCTGTTTTTTCCCTCTCTCCTGCCCCCAGGGAGGAAGTGATCACACCAGCCACTCACCGTATAATAGCCTGCCAGACAGAAACCATTACCCCCATTTTACATAAGGGAAAAGTGAGGTATAGAGCAGGGGTGTGACTGATCCTAGCCCACACGGGATCTGGAGCCTAGGCTCAAACTCTGCTCTTCCAAAGACAGACTCACTCATTCTCTCCTCTACAAGGCAAGAGGGGACATCAAGCTGGGTCTACAAAAGTGGGAGGGCTAGAGTAGGTGAAGCTTTGGAGGCCCGAGAGAGGCTCTATGCTGGACAGGGAGAAGCCTGTGTTATGGACAGACATGGTGGTGGAGGGGGCTAAGCTTCTTGCCGAAGTTGGGTGGGACAGGCAAACAATATGAAGGAAGGCAGGCCAAAAGCCACCTATTCTGCAAAAACTCCCACCTCCTCTCTGGGTCTTAATGCTTCTTCTCAGGAGCATCTCCCCCACCCCCACCCCCCCCCCCCACCAGTTTCCCTGAGTCCCTTGGTTCATTTCTGCCTTCTTCCCTAATTTAGCCTTCAAGGCTCCCAGAGGAGATAATTATATGGGAAAGGCAGCTGGGGAAGGGGCCTGGGCAGGAGCTGCCCTTGCTCATGCCCTCCCCCACCCCTATGTTCCAAAGACAGCTGGCTCTGAAATTAGGGGCATCAGAGCTGTCCTACCAGGCTCCCTTTTCCCCACTCCCTGCCTGCTGGCTCTCTCTGTGGTCTCTGTGAGAGACACCAGAGCCAGGACCAGGGGGAAACAGAGACAAGGAAAGGGAAACAAAGAAAGAGTTCAGAGGGGCCGTGAGAGTGCTGGGAACTGGGAGTGACCAAATTAGTCCAGGGTTTAGGGTTTCCAGGCTCTTCACACAGGCCCACAACACAGTGGGAATGCAGGCCATGGTTGAAATAACCCTGAGCCATCCCCACACTAGGCCCAGAACCCAACACCCAGAATCTAGCTTCTAAGTCAGATGCCAGGGCATCATGACACCTAGAACTTATCTAAACCCACAGCCAAAACTCCAGGGACATCTGAAGGCAGAAGGAGAGCCCTCAGAAAGATTGAGTCCCCAGGGCTTGGGGTCTGGCAGAGGAAGGGGGAAGCATTTCAGTCACCAGAAAGGGGTGGGGTGGGAGAGATGAGAGCTGGCAGGATGGCGGAACAGTGCTCCCACCCTGACCCAGAGAGGCAGCCCTGCCTGTGGGCGCTGAAACCACTCCCAAACTCTCTCAAGGCCCCTGTCTGCTGAGCTTCAGCAGCCTTTTCTCTGTCCCTGCCCTCCCCTACAAGCCCCCACTCTAATCAGAAGAGGTTCTGGCAGACCGCAGGCACCAAGAGGGCCTCAACTCCAACCTATGAACTGTCAAATTTGTGCAGCACCAGCTGGATGGAGACAAGTAGCACCTTGTCCACAATCCGTGATTTTACAGATGGAGAGGTTGAGTCACAGAGAAAGGCCAGGGCCACCAGTGTACTTTATGGAATCTTCTTTGCTCCTCCATCAGTAATGCCTGTACCTCTCCAATTCTCCCAGGCCCAGGAACAAACCTACATTTTGATCTGCCACAGAAGAACCACATGAGGAAGTACAGACCTATGTCAGCTGTGGGCCCCAAACCCTAACATCCTAGAAAGGGCCTGGCCGATAGGGCATTAAGACTCAGGAAAGACTCTCACACCTCCTTGGGTATTTATAAAAAAGAATCAGACAGGAATCTCTAAAACCAATCCCTGAGAAATAGCTAAGGACTAGATTAAACCTTTTGTAATTATCACCAAGAATACCTTGAAGCAGACAAGAACTTTTGACATCAGCACCCGCACAAGCCTTTGGGGCCTGAGTAGACAGGAGCCCTGTGTCTACACATTTTAACATTCTTAAAACTATCTGGGCACTTCCAGGACCAGAGAAGCCCCCTTAGACCTGGGCACCTACCTAATGAGCACACTCAAAAGGCTCCTGTGTAAGTCAGTGCCCATGGCCCTTCTCTGGCCCCACCCCTAAAGCCCCCAACAAAGGACTCACCACCTGTGGCTTGCTGCAGCACTTGCTGGCTGGGACAGGCTCATCTGGAGCCCTGGCTGCCTCAGGGGACTTGGCCTCAGCAGAGGGCGGTACAACAGGGGTCAAGCAAGGCATATCCACCGGTACTGGGGCAGGAACCTCACCAGGGTGGAGGGTCAGCATATACTGCTTAGTGACATCCTCGAGTGATGGTGCCTGCAATGTGGAGTGGGCTCTGGCAGGGAAGCCCATGGGCTCTGGCACAGCCACAGGGGGGCCAACGGAAGTCGGTGGCTCAGGTACCACAATAGGTGTGAAGGTGGCGGGCACACTCGCGTGGCGAACGTGTTTGGAGGACAGTCGGGCCCGAGACAGGCTGTTAGTCTGGTCCTCATTGCCTTCCTCTCTCTGTAGTTCCTGATGACTGCTCCGGGCTGGGCGTTTCTTGGAACCACGTCGGATGAGCCGTGGGGACAGAACATCAGCCAGTTTAGGGTCAAGGTGGAAGTCACGGTGGGCAGTGGAGGAGGCAGGTGGGGTCTTGAGTAGGGCCCTTTCAGACTGCGCCCGGCCCCTGGCAGGACTGGGCTCTTCTGGTTCTGCCTGCCGCTCTGCAAGAATGGGCTCACTGCTAGATGGAGGCAGCATGGGTTCAACTTCTCGGATGGGCTCCCCTCCAGGGCCCTCAAATCCAGGCCCAGCCAGCTCCCCACGGCGGCTGGGGTCACTCAGAGATTTCTTCTTGGGGGCTTTGCCAGCAACCCTGTCATCTGCCACACACCCCAAGGCACCAGGCCCCTGAACAATACTCTGAATAACTTCCTGGTAACCCTTGCTCTCTTCACTGCCCACAGACCAGTCACTGTGGCCACTGGTCAAGCCCTCATCCACAGGTGGGGTCGCTGGAAGTCCTGTCTTGGGGCTCAGTGAGCCCAAAAGGTTGCTATCCACGGAGAACCCAGAGGGCTCCTCAGAGGTGGCAGCCCGGTGGCGCTGTGGAATTGGGTCACTCAGAGACCTGTAGGCCTCCCCGGCCTCTCCATTGCTCAGTTCAGTCCCACCAGGGCCTGAAGGTGGGATTTTCCGTCTCCGGCGGAGGGCACCTGGTGTGGGAGGGGTATCAGGGGACACTAGGGCCCACCCTCCCAGACTATCTTCAGCCCCAGGGCCATGGTGGTTGGTCTGGGCTGAGGATGAAGAAAGGGGTCGCCACAGCCCTGTGGTACCCAGGCTGCAAAAAGCTGAAACAGGAGGCTCAGGGTCTGCCCCAATGCCCTCATCTGTCAGGCTAGACTCAGGGCCAGAGAGCTCCTCCTGGGACCGCTGCCCTTGGGTCATGTCTCCTGCCCAGTCAGGGCTTCCAGGGGGGATATCACTTCCATCATCCTGCTGGGCACCCATTCGCTGGATCTTCTCAAAAACCTGACGGGCCTCTTGCACATACTGATCTTGGACAACCAGGGGCAGTGGGTCCTCCTCGGCACTTGGGCCTGCCAGCAGGAGCTCAGAGGAGCTGGGCTTCAGGGCACTGGTGCGGGATAGGCGGCGGGCCACAGGCTTCTCAGAGCAGGTAAAAGACTTTGCCCTCCGCAGAGTGGCCGTCAAGTCTTTGAGTGTGGGCCGGGTGCCAGGTGACGCTGTGGATGGGCCAGGCATGGGCCCAAGTTGTCCGCAGGGGCCGCCTGCTGCTGGTGAGTCTCTGGCATCCAAGGGGCTGCTCCCAAGATCATTGGGGCGCCCACCGGGTTTTCGGACCCTCAGCTCTGAAAGGTCTGAGCGAAGGAAACTAAGCAGCGTCAGGGTCTCGGAGGCGATATCTGGATTCGACAGGGACTTCCGCTGCCGACTCTTGTCCAACTCCAATCCTCCATCTCGCAATGCCCTCGTGGTGCCCACAGGTCCCTTGGTGCGGGTTCGAGGCTGGGGCCTTAGGAGGAGACCTTCTCCAGCTCCAAAGCTAGGCGAGCGATACATGCCCCAGCCCCCAGAACCCCGACTAGACCATGGGTCCTCATCCTTGAGGGTCTCCGTGCTGGAATAACGGCTGCTACCATGGGAGCCTGCTGGGCTGGCTAGGTATGCGGGAAAGCTCACCTTGGCCACGCGGAAAGCTCCCCCCACAGTGTCAGACATGGGCCGGAGTCCCTCCTGAGGACCCGGTACACAGGGAGGCGAGCCAGTACCCCACTCCCGGGGTCCTTCTTCACTAGGGGCTCTTGGAGATTTGGAGGGCTCAGGACTCCTGGCTCCCCCTGCTGAGTCCATGCTGCCAAGATTTAACCCATAACTGTGTGGCCTACAGTCCTTATCCAAGAAGGAGCTTCCAGGCCTGGGTCCCGGCCTCCCTTCCCAGCGGTGGCCACCCTCACCGTCTTGGTCTTCCTCACTGCCCGAGGAGTGGCCTCCGTGGTAGGCCGGACTCTGAGCCCCGGGCGGCGGCGGCGGCGGGACCTCCTCTTCCTCCTCGCTGGAGCTGGCAGCCCGGCTGCGGCTGACAGGATAGGAGGAGGCGATGGAGGAGGAGCAGGAGCAGGAGGCCCGGGCCCCGGCCTGCGGTTGGGAGAAGCTATGCCAAGAATGTAAACCATCCGCCGGACGCTGCGCCCGCTCCTGTTGCTGCTGCTGCTGCTGCTGCCGCTGCCTCCTCCCCTCGGTCCCTGGGCCGGGCAGCGGCCGCGCGGAACGCAGGCCAGCCAGGGGGAAGCACGTCCGAGGAGGTGGCGTCGGTGGCTGCCGGGGCTCCCGGGCCGGAGGCTCCCACACGGCACCGTCGGGGCTGGGCGTTCCCGAGGCCTCAGAGTCAGCACTGGGCCGCCTGGAGCCAGGGCCTCCGAAGAGCTTGCGCATCTCGGTGACGCTGGGCCAGGCCCCGCGCGCGGCACCCTCCGCCGCTTCTTCCGCGGCCCCGGGGGAGACGCCCCCGTCTCGGGCCCCTGAGTGGTCGTCGTCCAGGCGCGGCGCGTCGAAGCGCCGGGAGAGCTGGCGCACGGACGGCGAGAGGCTGCGGAGCGGGCGCGGCTGCGCGGGGGCGGCCGGGGGCCCCGACGCCAGTTTGGACACGCGCCGGGAGGGCTGGCCCGGGACGGTCGCGGCCGGCCGGCACGAGGCGCGGCGCCGCAGCCCGGGAGTGTCCGTGGCCTCCTCCCTCGGTCCGGGCCCGCCGCTCCAGCGTTCGAGCAGTTTGAACGAGACGCTGCGATAGAGCGGGGGCCGGGGCGCCCCGTCCGCCATGGTGGCAGCACTCACTCTGGGGGGGCTGGCCTCGGGGAGCCGTGGCCAACCCCCCCCCCCACGCCCTCGCCGCGAAAGGAGCGCAGCAGCCGGGGTCCGAAGGCCTGGGTTCTGCAGCAGCAGTGTGAGGGGGTTTGCGGGGAGAGGGCGCAGAGACCCAAGCAGAGGTTTATCTGCTGCGGCTCAAGTTTCTGAGGCCGCGGGCGGCATCTGCTCCATCCAGCGCGGTCCCTCCCGCCTCAGCGCCGACCCCCAGGACCGGCCCCCTCTTCGGCCGGTGCGATTCGACATCGCTATGGCCCGGTCCGGGCAGGATCCCAGTGCTCTGCTCCTCGGCTCCGTGCCCGCCAGCCAGCCTGCCTGTCTCCCCTCGCGCTCCCGCTCAGGCTCCCGCTCCCTCCCTCTTGGCAGCTAGCTCCTCGCTCCCTTTTGTTGCAAATAAACTTTGTGGCTGAGGAAAGGGGGCGGGAGGCGGGGCCTCGCGCCCAAAAGAGGGGGTGGGCTCCGAGTGCGAGCTGGATCAGAGAGTTGGGGGGGAGGCAGGAGAATCGGGAGGAGCTGAAAGAGAAACAAGACTGCTTGAGCACTTGCAGACCGAAGTAACCCTCTAGAGGAGCCCCTCTGGAACCCAGCAGGCCGAACTGCCCCGCCAAGGACTCCCTCCGGCACGCGAAGCCTCAGTGTGGGATCCTCTGACATATCTAGCGGGGCTGCACCCTGAGTTCAGACAGCTTTTGTGTGGTAACATCTTCTGCTCAAAGAAACCCCTAACATAGCATCACCCAAGTAAGCTGGTACACCGACATTCAGGACATCAGCAAACTCTTCGGTGGAAGGGGCGGACTCGCCGCCAGGGGGAGCAGTAGCCGCCAGGCCTGGAGACCTGGTGGCTAGCCGCTCCTGCCCCACCCTCACCCCGCCCAGTGGATGCCCCCCACCGGGCCCTTCTCTTAGAATCACTCCCAGAGGCCTGTCCAACCTCCCTTGCCCCCAAACGCCCCAGCCCTCTCTTACCTCTGCTGCCACACCGGAGCTCTGACCCTCCCCGCCGCTCCAGGTGCCCCACCCTCAGTGCAGCCCGCCCATCCCTCACTTTCAGCTGCCCACCCTAGGGCCATGCCCGCCGTCTCATGGAGGCTCCTGTCCTCGCTGCTGCCTGTGCCTTCCCCTCCTCTTGAGCTCCGATGGTTTACAGTGGGCTCCCACCATCTCGTCGATTCCCCCCCCCCCCCCATGGAGTACAGGACAGGTAAAGGTAAAGCGGTACCCATCACCAAAAATGGGAGTTTGGAAGACTTCATTTCCTTTACTTCTTTTCAGTCCTTTCCTAATCCCTTCAGCCGTTTCAAACCTAGTCCCTTCGCAAAGTCCCTTCTGCTTCACACGCAAAACGAATTTCAACGGAAACGCCCTTGACTTGCCACTGCCAAACCAACACGACTACCTGTGGCCCTCCGCCCTCCTAACAGAGGGTGTGGGTCGCCTCTCCTGCTTCAAGCTGATCCAACCCTTGAGCTCCCCTTCCACCTCCGCCCTTGTCCGGCAAGTCTCTCATTGTACTGGGTACTGGGGTCTTCCCCACCCCCGCCTGCTTCTGCTATGTGCCATTCATCCTCAGGGCCCAGCTTACAATGCAAGGAAGCTCCTCAACATTTGAATGAACAAATGAGAGTTTATTTGTTCATAAACAATAACATGGGTTATTGTTGGATGTATGGGTAATATTATTTCATTCTTTTTATTTAATCCTCGAACCACCCTGGAGGGAGAAAATATTTCCTCTCTATTGGTCATGAAGGAGATGTAATTTTGACCACTGTCAAAGTCAGGAAACGGCAGTGCCTGGTATGACTCAAATTCAGATTTGAGGAGCTTTAAATGCCATGCTCCTCCAGTCTTCACCGGTCCCAGATCCCTGATAAAGAGGAGGGTTCTCTCTCCTTGAGCCCCCAGCAGTCTCTTCCTCCTTCTTGGGCCTGGGCTCACCTGCCCCAGGAACAGAGGATAGTCTGACTCATGCTCTCCTCAGCAAAAGAGGGCTGGGTCTGACTAGGCTGGCAGGCCCTGGAAGCAGGAGGCCCTGGCCCAGATGAGAGGTGCAAGGATGGGCATAGAGCAGGATGGCAGTCAGGGATTGACTCGGTTGAGGGAAATCTCTGTAGGGAGGATGCTCTTCCTCTTTGAGTTGAGACTAGCCTCCTATAAGTTCCTCACCTCAGCCTTGTCTCAGCTCTGCCTCAAAAGGACCTCTGTCCTTCACTGGGGAATTGATGGCAAGGAAGAGAATCCTGCCTGGCCTAGTGCCTCTCTACCCTTGCCTTGCTGTGTGACTTTGGATATATGCTTACACTTTTCTGGGCCTCAGCTGCCTCATCTGAAAAGTGAGGAGTGGGTCTAGAGTTCCCCAAGAGTGCCTCTCTGACTCTATTTGAAGTCAAATTCTTGTTTCCTCTGAAATTCTTTTCTACTCTTTGGGGAAAGTTTTGTTATGGTGGGGGAGACCCTCATCCTGACAGACACTGCTCTCCTCCAAAAACAATGGTCCCTACCATCTGAAATTTGTACTTTGCCAAACTTTTTCACATCCTGTCATATTTTGTCTTCACATCACTTCTGGAATAGAAGTTTATATTCCCATATCACAGATGGGCAAACTGATGGAGAGATGCAGAGACTCAGGTCACCTCAGCATCCTGAAGATTGGCCTTGAGGTAGGCTGACTGAGGCCTTTGGATCAGGAATCCCCTTGGTGAGGGGTGAGGAGGGTGTTTAAGTATCTAGGCTGGGCCACCACCCAGTGGCACACTCACCCAGGCAGAGAGTGGCTTGGCTGCTTCCAGCACCTCACGAATCCTCCTAGCCTCAGTACCTTCTGACTCATGATGAGACAAAGTCATCTTCCAGGTACAGAGGGTGCCTGGGTGTTTTTAGCCCTTCAAAGACTCATCTAGGAGGTTGCTGGGAACACTGGGCACCAGGGTGGAGAGGGGAACATTTCTGGGAGTCTAGAGCTGGGCCCAATGCAGGCACCCTCACAAATGTGCCAGATGACCCTCAGCAGGTCACTCCCTTCCTCTGGGCCTCAAGCCCCTCACCTATGAAAGGGGAATGAAAACATTAACCCATCTACCCATAAGTCATGGTGCCCAGCAAGATTGGGGCTATAAAACCCTTGAAGAAATCAAGATAGGAAGGTTGTGATGGTCACAGTCATGGCCAGTGATGGCCCTTGGGTACTTAAGAGGGAGAAAGATAAGGAGTGAGAGGACCTCGAGAAGAAATGCCCTCCAGGGGCCACCTGGGTGGCTCAGTTGGTTAAGCGTCTGCCTTAGGCTCAGGCCATGATCTCACTGTTCATGGGTTCGAGCCCCATATTGGGCTCTCTGCTGTCACTGTGGAGGCTGCTTTTGATCCTCTGTCTCCCTCTCTCTCCTTTCCCCTTCCCCCACTCCCCTGCTCGTCTCTCTCTCTCTGTGTCTTTCAAAAATAAACATAAAAAAAGAGAGAGAGAGTGAGAGAGAGAGAAAGAAGAAGCAATAACCTCCAGGAAGGAACTGTCTTAGGGGGAATCTGACTCCTGACTCCATTCCCAAGTCAATTAGAAATGACCTCAGATTGTCCCCTTTCCTGTATAATTAGACCTCAAGTGGACAGTATTGGATTATTTATAACCTTTAGTTCATGACACATTCTCACCACTTCTTTAATTGGCTCCCACCACAAAACAACTAGGACCTTGATAATGTCCTACATCTCATCGTATAGGTTCCCTACCACCCATTCTCCTGCTGTCGTACCACGCCGAATAATAGCCATTACCTTCTGTGTTCAGCATTCCTTTGCTTTCCTTTTTGTGTAGTTTTGTTGCATCTGTGTATTCCTTCAAAGTATATATTTTCATTTTAGTTGTTACAAAAGGGCATCTTGCTCTGTGTAATTTTTTGAGATTACTTTGTACTTAATATTATACTGCTTAGGTTTATCCATATCGTCACACATCCATGTAGTGCATTCTGGCTGCGTGTAATATTCCATTGTGTGAATATAGCATAGTGTATTATTCATCCACTCTCTCATGGACGGATATTTTAGTGTTTGCAGGTGTTTGCTCTTGCAAATAGTGCTGCTCTGAGCATTGTGCACGACTCCAGGAGCACATGCGCAGGAGAGCTCAGGGTAACAGGCCATGTGACTACTCAACATCCAGGAGGCATTGTCAAGCTAGGATCGAATATCTCTCTGTGTGTTTTTATTTTATTATCTGTGTTTCCTTTTACGTGAAATGCCAGTTTGTGCCTCTTCTATTGGGTTATTATACTTTTTTGTACTTTATGAAAATTCTGCTCTAACTTTTCCATGCTCAATAGGGTGGCTTAGGGAGGGCTGGTAGTATTATCATTGTTTTATATGTAAGGAAACAGAAACTTAGAGAAGTGAATGGGCTTGTTTAGAGTCAGAGTCAATAACAGCCCTTTTGCACTGAGCTGATACCTTCTGAGACCATTGGGCTTCAGCTAAGAAACCTCTGCCCCTTACGCTGAGTCACAAAACCCCTGGTCCCCATCATCTCTCAGCTCCTGACCATTACATGAGCTTATAGTCTCCCCAGTGAGGCCTTAGCCCTTGTTATGTTCTTCTGAGCTCTCCTCCCAGCTGTAATGATCCAGGGTATATATTTATTTCATTATTGTCTTTCTGTTTCATCAGACGAGAAGCTCGCTCAGGGCAGGGACCCATTGCTCAGCATGATGCCTGGCTCATAGTAGGTGCTCAATAAATGTTGTTTACTGGACGAACTGCCAGTTTCCTTGTCTGCACCCCTACCCTCACCCCCAGGTTCTTTCTGAGGATAGGGTCTGGGTCAGAGCTGCCTCTGTGTTCCCATCGCCATCTTGGAGTATAGAGAATGTGTGTGGAAGAATGAATGAAGGAGGGAGGAGCAAGCTGCATCTATTCCTAGGACAGATCCAGTGCCCCTGGGCTTTTCCACATTAGAAAGGACAAGCCCTGGTTCCTGATTCTCTGGCTCTTCCATCTTTGGCCCTGCCCCTGTACTCAACCTACAACAGCCAACTCATATGCCTCCTGTCATGGAAGTGCCCTCCCTGGACCAGGCCTCCCTGGGAGCCTTCTTCTCTCTTTTCTTCTCCACCCATCACCTCCACTTCCTCCCTGCCTGCTACTCCCTCATTCAAACACCTCCACTGCCACCATCATTCAGAAACCCCTAGGCTTTCACCTTTCACCTCTCTGGCTCCTCCTCCTGCCCAGCCCCCTAATGAAGTTCCCAGGGTTCTCTCCAGGCCCTCCCTTCCTACTCTGTCCCTCAGGAAACCCATCTACCCCCTTGGCCTCAGGCCTCAAGCCAAAAGCACCATGACCACTCCCCAAGTTTTGCAATTCTCTAAGAAGCCTTCCTGGGTATCTCCAGACCCTGCTGAGTCCTAGCTCCCACCCAGGTTGAGGCCTTGTTATCAAGCTGGACCCTGCCCCCACCCCAGTCCAGGACACTGCCTGGCCTCCCTCTAGGTCCACCATCTCAGGATAGGAGCGAAGTAGAGGGACTTGTTTTGGCTGTGGTAACAAAGGCCTGAAAAACTCGTGGCTTAAAAAAGATAGACATTTATTTCCCTCTTGTGCAAAAGTCCAAATTCAGGTGGCCCCAAACTGGAATGGTCAGAAACCCAAGCTGTTTCTCATGGTCCAAGATGGTGCCCCAGCTGTGAGGCCCCCATTGTAAGCAGCAAGAAGGGAGGGGAGGCAAAGGACAGACCCCACCTATCTTTTAAAGACCTTCATCCCCTTCCTGTGTTAAACTGCTGTAGGCCACTTTGCTTATATCCCACTGTCCAGGATTAAGATACCTGGTCGTGCCTAGCTGCAAGTAAGGCTGGGAAATGAAGTTTTCATCCTAGGAGAACTTGTGCCCAATTAAAGGAGAGTTAATACTGCAGTTGGCACTTAGCCGTCTCTGTTACAACTTCCTAGGGGGATCCCCAGTTACTGGCACTGGCTGAGGCAGGTGGGCACTTGAAAGGCACATCATAAAAGGAAAGGGAAGCAAGGCAGGTCGAGTAAGGCAAGGGGGGCATCTAGTATCTGGGTTAGAGAAAGACTGTGTGACCTTCACAGGTCAATTCTCACATCTGGGCCTCAGTATCCCCATCTGTAATTGGAGATATTGTAAGGATTAAGTGAGAAAACGTGTGTACAGCACACTGCATGTGCCCAGGACCTGCAGAGCCCAACAAATGGCCACTGCTGTCATTGTTGTGGCTCCCCGGTGCTCCCCTGGGCTGGCACCAAGCCTTTTACTCTCCAGCCCTGCCAACTCTCCAGCCTAATCTCTTGCTATCTTTCCTCCAACAGCCTCTACGCCTTGGGCTGTGCTGTTCCCCGCACCAGAACAAACTTGCCCTCTCTTCTTCAGTCTAATTATGGCCATCCTTCAAGCCCTAGCTGCACTGCTACACCCCAGGAAATCTTCCTCAAGCCCAGAGCATCACCTTGGACCCCTGTGAACCCACATGCTCCCCCACCCCTCACCACACTCTACCTCCACACCTTCGTCCGTGTCTCCTCTGTCTTTACCCCAGTGAGCAGACATCCCCAGCTGAAGCCCCTATCCCCGGTGTGCTCTGGGTTAAAGTGAGGAGAGAGATTAGGGGAGGGGGACAAAAGGAGGGAGAATGAAGGGGGGAAATTCAAGCTCCCCAAATGGCACTCGGGAGTCTCTCGTACTGGCATTAATAAATGGCTTTTCCTTCTTGTAGGAGTAGATAGATGGGGCTCATGGATTATGACCCTCGTTCTGAAGGGAAAAAAAAAAGTGTGCGGAGTTTTTTTTCTTAAAAGACCAGCTGCCTCCCCAGGTGAAGGAAGGAGAAATCCCTTGCTCAGAGCCCCTTGTTTAGAAACTTCCTAGGCAAATTCCTAGAGAGAGAGACTGGAGGAACTTGTGTGCACAAAAGGCAAAGTCATTACAATAGCAACACTCATTGCACGCTTACTGTGTTTTGGCATTACTCTGAGTGCTTTGCACGTATTAATCCTCACAACCACTTTGCAAGACAGATGGCATCATCATTCCCATTTTATAGCCTGGGAAGTTGCGGTACAAAGAGGCTACATAACTTGCCCAGAGTAACATAACTAGTAAGTGGTAGAGCCAAGATACACGCTCAGGTTGAGCTGGGTCTGCAGTTTCCACCCTTTATGCTGTTCTGCCTTGCGAAGGGATGCTGGAAATGGAATTTACCTGTGGTCCACAATGTTCACTCTTGGAAAAGTAACCAAAGAAAGGGTCACCATTCTCGGCAGTCTGCTAGGACAGTCATCTGGGATGCTCTGGGCACTGTGGGCAGAGGCCCTCTGCCTTCCGCTCTCCTGCTGCCCTACTCCCCCATGACAGGCAACTGAAGAGTCTCATCTCAGACTCTCAACAAGATGCAAGGCAAGCATCATCTGTACTACTTGGCAGGACATTGCATTGTGTTGGGAATATACATCTTCTGACATTTCCTCACGTCTCTTCCCTGTGACCCAAAGAATCAAAGTCCCTTCTGTCCAAATTATCATCAACCTCTTCAGCAAGGGCACTTTTGATGGGTTCCCAAGATGGTTTGGGCCCGGTTTGCCCACTTCCTCAGACAGCTGCAAGCACACTTCCAACATTACTATGGAGTTTAACTCCCGCAGAGCCCTTCTCTGAATGCCCCCATTGCCCAACAGCCTTGGAGATTAGACAGGGCTAAAAGGAAAATGCTGAGTAAGCTATGCAGTCCTTCCCCTCCCTGCCCTGTCCCTATGCCCTGCCCTCTCTCGGCTCTACCCTCTAAGAAGGTAGACTCTTTGTCAAGGCTGGTTCGGGTACAGGGTCTGAGTGGTATACTAGCAGCCAAGGGCAGGTGAAATTGTTCTACAGGTGGAAAGCTGGGACCTGGGAGGAAGGAATAAGGAATGGAGGAGAAGTGAGGGGGGGTCCGGTGGGGGTGTGTGTGGAGATATGAGGAAAAGGAGCAGAGAGGGTGAGGAGCTGTGTGGGTGGGGCCGAAAGGAGGGGTGGGTGGGGAGAGCAGGTAAAGAGGCCTTATGTGGCAGAATCCCTTGGCTGTCTTCTCAGAGACCTTCAGTGAAGATGCCTTTCCAAAGCTTTTGAAGGCTCAGGTCTGTGTTTGAGATGCCCCTGTGAGATGGCCTCCAGCAGCCTCCCAGGCACCCACAGGCCAGAATGATGAAGGTGAGAGGGCAGGAGCAGAACCCATGGAACAGTCTGTCTTGAGACTGGCCACAGGACTTCTGCACCTCCATGTGGCAGCCTCCTGGAAGCCCTGGCATGGCCCTGAGTCTCTTCAAGTTGACTTCTCCTTCTAGAATGAAGCAATATTGAAGGGCTATTTCCCTTCACTTGGGGGGGCCTGGTGGAGGGTTTCTCAGGCACCCAGGATACCCTGAGGCTGAAAGAGGCCCATGCGAAGAGATAGGTGGAGGAGAGGTGGGGTCTGGGGCTCTTCCTGGCATTCAATGCTCTGGTCCCACCCAGTCCATCCCCTCTTGGACTTAACTGAAACTCACTATTGATTTGCAGCCAGATTCAACAGGTCTCTGCCTCTGGGTTTTATGCACCCAGTGCCTTCCATCAGGAGCAGCCTCCTTCTCTCTGTCTTTTGGATTCCTCCCTGGCTTAAGCTCCACTCTTTGAAGAAGTGCTCCCTGATTCTTCCCTCTGCTCAGCCCCCACAGCCTGAAGGGTGGCCATGGGACAGCTTTTGTTTTCTCAACTTTCACACCACACAGCAGACCATATGCCTGCCCCCCACTCCAGCTCTCTACCCATCTCCTCCAGCGCAGAGTCTAGATTAGGGCCATCCCAGGCTGGGTGAACACGCTCCCCACTTCCATTTGCTGACCTGCCACTCAACCCTCAACATCTGGTTCAGGTGCCCCCCAGCCCCGCCCTGAGAAATCTTTCCTGACTCCTTGGACTGGATCATGGGTATCCTCTGTTCACCCCTCCCCGCCAGCCATGCTTCCCTCTGTCACAGCCTTGACATCACTTTGTCAAATGTCAGTATATCCATCCAGTAGTTGGGAGCCTATATGGGGCAGAGCTGGGACTTGTTCTCCTGGGGCGCTGGAATCAACCCAGGCCCAAGCACAAGGTGTAGGTAAAGTTTTGCTGAACGAATGGAACATCACATACCTCCAGAGAGCTCATATTCATCCCTCAAAATCCAGCTCAAATGCTCCTTTCCAGAAGCCCTCACTTCCTCCTCCCATCTTCCCTCACTCCCTTTATTGGTGACTCCAAAACATTCGGCATGCTCCTCAATTACAGTGCATGTCACACGCCATTTTTGTGAGCAGCTTAACATGGCTTCCCTGCCTCTCCAGGGCTGACTGGGACCTTCTGGAGAGCCAGGTCCGAGCTTGTCTCTCTGTGCCCACACGGCCCAGTCCAGAGAAAGAGCTCAATAAATAGTCATTGGTTGAGATTCTGGAGTCTGTGGGGCGACCTCACTCCATGCCCAGCTGAGCTAAGCTCAAATTCTCTGCACAGTTTGGGGTTGGTGGGGCTTCCGGCGCCACGGCCCCAGGTGTCCTTGTCCCCAGTGGGCTCAGGGACCCCGTCGCTGCCACTTGGCCGTGAGTTTCTGCAGCAGCTCATGTGGCCTCCGGCGGAACTTCTCCTGAGTGAAGTAGAAGAGAATGGGATCCAGCACGCTGTTGGCACTGGCAAAGGGCCGTGTGACTTTGTAGGCAGCTGCAAAGGCCTCCAGCACAGGGCAGGGGACCCCAGATGTAGAGCGCACCGCCAGGTAGGCTGTCTTGGTGACGTGGAAGGGCAGGAAGCTGACGACAAAGGCGGCTGCCACCACCACCGCCATGCGGGCTGCCTTGCCACGCCGCTCCCGGGCCACTGGCCCTGCTGGGCCGTCCTGGCGGCACAGATGGTAAGCCAGGCGGCAGTAGCAGGCCAGCAGGGCGGCAAAGGGCAGCAGAAAGCCGATGACCGTGAGGGCCATGCCGTAGGGCATATAGTGGGAGGCCAGGGCAGGCGGGCTCAGGTCGTAGCAGACGGTGCGGTTACGCTGGACGCCTGTGGCAGCAAAGAGGGCTGTGGGCAGACACTGGGTCGCCACAGCCAGCCACACGGCCCCACACACTACCCAGGCGGCGCGGCGGCCCCCACGCTTGTGCCAGGGGGCCAGTGGGTGGCAGATGCCCAGGTAGCGCTGGAAACTGATGCAGGTGAGGAAGAGGATGCTGCCGTGTAGGTTGGCGTAAAACAGGAAGCGGACCAGGCGGCAGGCAAGGTCGCCAAAGGGCCAGTGGTCACCTTGGGCATAGTTGTAGATGAGCAAGGGCAGGGAGCAGGCGTAGAGCAGGTCGGCCAGGGCCAGGTTCAGGGTGTACACGGCCGTGCGGGTCAGGGCCCGGCGGGATGTGCCGATCTGGGCGATGACACAGGCGTTCAGTGGCAGGCCGGCCACCAGCACCACTGAGTACACAGGTGGCAGTAGCAGTCTCTTGAAGTTCTCTTGGTAGACACAGGTGGTGGGCGGTGAGCCCGGGGCCTGTCCTGTCCCGTTGTCCCACTCCATGGCTGCCCGATTATGCTTCCCGCATGCACAGAGGCTAGGGAAGCAACACAAAACCTGTCAGTAACCACACTCACTGACCGTCCGGTAGGCCCCCTGTCCCTCTCTGGGCCCTGATCTCCACCTGAACCATCTATGATACTCACTACCCCACGGAGACCGCACGCTGCCTTCACTTTAAGGAAACCTGGGATACAATAAAGCTCAAAGCTTGGGAAAAATCCAACTCGCTTTCTATAATATTCATTTCCCACCAACCTTCCTGGTGAACTTCTATTTGGCCTTCAAAACCCTAGTCAAATGTCTTCTCTTTAAGGGGAGACTGACAGACTTTTGGTTTTTGTCTGTTTGTTCCAAATCTTTTTTTTTAAAGTTTTATTTATTTAGGTAATCTCTACACCCAACAGGGGCTCGGACTCATGATCCCGAGATCAAGAATCACATGCTCTTCTGACTGAGCCAACCAGGCACCCCAGGCAGACTTTAGTTTGAATCCCACCTGTGCTACTTATTAGCTATGTGACCTTGGGCTATATATCAGAAAAGATATATCTTTTCTGAGTCTCAATTTTCCCATCTGAAAATTGCAGGAATGACAGGCCACCTCTCAGAATGTCATGAAGTTTGAGGTACTAAATCACGCTAGGTAGGGCTTCCCCTGGGCTGTTTGGAGTTTGGAGATTATGGTTATGGTGAACATGTGTGCCTTTCTCTCCTACACAGACCAGGAACCTCCTGAAGAAGTGCCAGGTCTGATGCCTGTATCTGGGAGCCCAACCTGCGGTCCAGGGCAGTGAAGGCCCTGGTAACTCTTAATTAATCAACGTGAACAGTATTCACACACTGTGAACTGATGACGGACAGTGCCCACCTCCTCAGACTGGACTCCACCTTCCAAAGCCATGGTTCTTCTTTTGGCTGCAATCTTCTTATCTGTAAAATGGGGGAAGGAGGTGATTCAGGAGTTCCTCTAAGCCTCCTTCTACTTGACTTGAGGCTACAAATGTCTGTCTAGCACACACTGGACCACAGCACCCTCTGGTGGCTAATATGAAAACAGCTTCCCCAAAGGCAAACTGGCAAACGACTGAGGACCAACCAAATCTACTGTTTTTTTTTTTTTAACTGATTTTATTTTTAAGTAATCTCTTCACCCAAAGTGGGGCTCAAACCCACAACCCCATGACCAAGAGTCATGCGCTCCACTGACTGAGCCAGCCAGGCGCCCCTACTGCTTGCTTTTTATAGAGAGGAAAATCCAGGCACAGCAAGAGGCAGTGATGGCTCAATCTTCCTCATTGAGTTAGAAGCAGAGCCAACCACCTGACTGAGAGGAGACAACTAAACATAGCCCATGGTCATGGAATGTAGAGGTTATAAACCCAACTTCAGAGGTTGGCAAGCCCGACATGGGGCTCATTCAAATCCTGGCTCCCCTACTTCTACGCTGTTCAACCCAAAGCATATCACTGGCCTTTTCTGGGTCTATGTTCTTATCAGTAAAACATGTCATAGGCCTGATATACAGTAGGTGCTTAATAAATGCCATGCCATGCTGTTGTATCCTACACGTAATGCCTCCATTCATCCCTTCAGGCGAGATTTTGGGGAAGCACAAGTGTCTTACAGGGTTCCCTGGTGAGGTAAGTCTGGCTTCTTGATACTTACCTCCCAACTGGCATGTCCACATTTACTGGTGCCCAGAGAGAACTCGCAACTTAAAGCTAATGGACCTGAAAGACAAAGCCTTTGAGACAGTGAGTCAGATCATCCCCCTTCCTATTTATAGGTGGGAAAACTGAAGCTAAGGAAAAGATATGAAGTCCTGTAAATGTACGCAGAGGGTGACAGAGGTTTGAGGCCAGAAGGTTCAAATCCCAGCTCTGCTACATGTGAGCCGTGGGGCTTTAGGCTCATTACTGAACTCCTGGGCCTTGGTTTCCCCATCTGTAAAATGGAGTAATAGAGTACCTGCCTCATAGGGTTGTTATGAAGATCAGTGCCTGGCACAGGGCAAGTGTTAGCTATTCTTGATGTGAATATACCTGCTAAGTCAAGTTATGAGATTTTTATTTTTTTTAATTATTATTCTTTTTTTTTTTTTTTAATTTTGAGAGAGACAGAGCAGGGGAGGGGCAGAGAGAGGGAGAAAGAGAGAGAATCTCAAGCAGGCTCTGAATTGTCAGCACAGAGCCCGACATGGGGCTCAATCCTACGAACTGCAAGATCATGACCTGAGCCAAAATCAAGAGTCGTACGCTTAACTGACTGAGCCATCCAGGCCCCCAAGTTATAAGATTTTTAAAAGTTAAGCTAGAGCAAAACGTAACTACCCAAACTAATTTCTACCAACTTAAAATTTGATTCTGATGAAAATATTTTCCCCAGAGTCTGGGCAAATGCAAAATGAGGTTTGGATTCTCTAGTCTGTATCCCACATGCCATATTATCTTTAATTATGAAAAATTCTTTGTGGGGCTTCAGCCCATGTGCTAGGAGTGCCGGGTGCCCAGTTAGCCAGTTAGGCACGGGGGAAGCCACAGGAAGAAGCACGGGAGGACCCCCATTGTAGCCAGGAAGCCAAGATTAGTACAGGCAAGAGAAAGCTCATTTACCCATCTCTTCATTCATTTGTTCAGGCTATTCTTTCCTTTATGCATTCATTCTCCTGTTTTCACCTGCCAGGCATTTAATGCATACTTACTGCCTGCTGGATGCATGGGGGCACAGTACATAGATGTCGATGCACATAGATAGATAGAGATATAGAAATTATTTATACACATACACATACACGTACACGTACATATACATATGCTAGTCTGCATGGGGAGACCAGTGTAAGCCACAGGATAGAAGAGACTTTTCAGAAGAGAACGAAGGATGGAGCATGACCCAGGTGGTTGAGGAGGAATTCCCTGGGTGGAGAGGGGTGTGAGGATCTCTGGGTGTCCCCAGGTGGGGAGGAAAGTAGAGCAGGCAGAGCTTGAGAGGAGAGCAGCCTTCTAGGGCAGGGCCATGGTGAGGAGGAAGAAACGGGTAGAAGGAACAGTGCTGTGCCTCTGAACTCTCTTTTGGGAGGCCTATTGTCCTCAGACACCACCCCGAGGGAAAGCCCTCGCCTCAGGTGACGGGAGGCTCCAGATATTTCCTGCTCTCCACTCCCTGGTAAGACTGGTCCTCTTGGAAGGAGGCAGAGGCAGCACAAGGAGATCCAGAGTGAAGCTTCAGGTCTGCTCCAAGAAAGGCAGGCATGCCTGTCACCCTGGCTCCCTCATACACTCTACCCTCTGATGACTACGAGAGGCAGGGGCTGGTCCCAGCGGAGGGCTCCCTTGGCCCCTGCCTCCCAGCAGCTGACACTGTCTCCCTCTAGCTCTCACAGATGTCATTTCTTGGGCCCTGAGCCCTGGGCCAGCTCAGGCCCCAGTGTCTTCCTGGGCTCCGGCCACACTGTCTCTGGTGGGGGGCTTTCTAGCAAGTGGGTCAGATTACATCCTTCCCTGTATTCCTCTGCAGCCTGCCTGCCCAAAGTCACAGTTCCTTGTGTCCAGCCCCCATGCCCCCCTCACATTGGCCCACAGCACCAACACTCACATGCAGCCTCCTGTCCCCGAAGCACCTTGGTGGCCTCAAATGCCTTGGAGCAAGGGGGGGGCCAGACATGAGGCTCTCCACTCTCCTGCCCTCAACTCAGGCTGCAACACCTCCAAAGGAGCAGGCGGCTTCCTCTGTTTCCTGGCAGGGCTGTCTCTGACTGAAATAGCCCCTGCGGGGGCCACCCCCTCCCTGCCACCTCCAACACCAAGGTCTGGCGGAAACTGGGCCTCGAGGAGCAACGAGGCGGAGAAAATGTCTCCTTCCTGGAACCCTTCCCACCCAGCAGAAGGAAGAGGGTGATGAGGGGATAGAAAGGTGGGGGAGAACCAGAGGCTGCTGGTCAAAGGCCAGCCCCACAGCCCCAGCAGCTTCCTTTCTCCTCAGCCCTCTCTCAGTCTTCTCATCTGTCAAATGGGCATGTGGGTATTTAAAGAGTTTTTGGCTCCCCCTTTAGCTGTAACACCCAGAGTCACCCTGTAGTCACTCACTCCCCCATCCATCCCTCCTTTCTCCATTCAATGGCTCATCCACTGACCTATCCATCCCTCTACATGGTAATCTACTTATGCACTCACTTATTTGGTCACCTTCACCCTCTCTCCTTCCCTCTCTTCCTTTTCTCCCAAACCATTATTGAACACCTACTGTATGCCCTCAGATCCTCCCACATACCTCCACTTCTCAGGCACTGTCTCCTGCATGGCAGGTCCAGAGCTCACCAGGAGTGACAGGTGTGGGTTGCGGGGATAGAGGTGATGCCCCGAGAACTCATCTGAGTGAGATTCTCCCTGCCGGTGCCAAGCCCTCTTCCAGCCCCTCCTTACTCCCAAACCAAGACTCAGAGCTGTTAGGATGGACCAGAGGAGGTGAGGTGGCTTCTCATTGTTCCGAGGAGGACAGCTCCGGTAGCAGAGGCAGCACTTGCAGGGATGACTTGGAGGAGGTGGGCTTTGGTTGGGAGAAGCTGGGGCAACGAGAGGGGGACAAGTTCACGCAGGGAGAGAACACTGCCCTGGGTGCTTGAGGCCCAGGTTCTTGTTTACTTTGGCCCCTACCCACAAGCCCCTTCCCCTCTCTGAGCTTCCTTGGCAGAATGTGGTCATAGTGGCCACCAGCATGTTGTGAGGATGAACTGCCAGGGACAGGGAGGACCCTTTTTACCCTGGCAGGTGTGAGCACTGCCCTCACACCCAAACCCATTTTGTAGACAGGGGGATTGAGGAACTGAGTTGGTCCCAAAACTTTGGGTCAAGCTGAGGAAATTCAGGTTCGAACTGCTGAGGAACACTTTGGTCAGTTGTGCAAGGATTGAGCACCTACTGCCTATTCAGGGCTGTGCTAAGAGGTTGCCAGCTGAAAGTGTGGACCTCCTGATCTGATTTTAGTGGTGCTAGAGCTCAGGAGGGCAAGGAGGCCTGGCCTTTAGCCCAGAAACCAGTCCTTTGCTGCATTCCTAGGACAATCTCCAGTGGTCACTCCCGCCACAGTGTCTGTCCCAAGAATGGGAGCAGCCCTGAGGGCTTCCTGGGGGTGTCAGACCCAGTGCAAGGCTTGGGTCAGAGTTCCTGCTACCGGGTTGGGGCCCAGGAGAGCAGGTCTTGGGGGCCATGGGAAGGAGTGACCTGGAATGGCTCCTGGAGAAGGCATGTCTGTTGCTGGGACTTAAAGGGCCAGGAGGACTTGGCCACATGAAGCGTGAAGAGAGCACCCTAGGCAGGAGGCACGCAGGCAGGGAATGAGCCTATCCTGTGGGAGAAATGAAGTATAGTGTAGCAGGGGATGAGCTGTGTGAAGAGGGGCCCAGTTGGAGGCCTGAGGGGGCTGGCCCATTTAAAACCTCCAAGACAGAGCCCAAGTGCCCCTGCTCTGCTCCCAAGCCTGCCAGGGCTCCTAAGTCCAGCCTCAGCCCTTCCCCACCAGGCTTTCCAGCCCTGAGGTGGACATCTGTGCTATTTCCTCTGCCCGGGATGCCTTCCAAATAAGCCCTACTTATCCTCCCTGTAGTTTTCATGTCTGTAAAATGAGATTGATTACTGGTGCCTGCCACATAGGCTGTTGTAAGAAATAAACGAAACCATGCAGGTGAGGTGCCCTGGCACACAGTATGGACTCAATCAACATTTGTTAACTGAATGAATCAATTCCAGGCCCAGCCTAAATGCCCCCACTTTGGGCTCCCTCAGCCCGTGGCAGCGTGCACCAATTCCTGGGTCCTCACCACCCGGTGTCATCTCCTAATAGTCTGCCCGCTGCCGGATGTTTTAGCTGCAGCCCTGGGTGGGTGGCAGGCGGTGGCAGTGGTTATTCTCTCCCTTATACAGATGAAAGAAGTAAGACTCAGGAGAAGTCAACGAGTTTCCCAAGGTGTCCCAGCCAGGTGACATTTCAACACTGTCTCTCTG